TACTGGTATTGGTATTGCAGCAGATAAGCTTGATCTCATTTTCGACACGTTCCAGCAGGCCGATGGCTCCATGACCAGGAAGTTTGGCGGTACCGGCCTCGGCCTGTCCATTTCGAAGCGCCTTGTGAAGCTGATGGGCGGTGACTTATGGGTCAAGAGCCAGCACGGTCAAGGTAGTGAATTTCACTTCACGTGCCGCGTTCGCCTGTCCGACCTCGGCGTCGAGATTATTGAGAAGCAAATTAAGCCTTACAAGGGCCACGAGGTTCTTTTCGTCGACAAGGCGCAGTCCGGCTACGGAAACCAAATCAAGACAATGCTTTCCACTATTGGCCTGAAGCCTGTCGTTGTTGACTCGGAAAAGAACCCGTTGCTCACCGACGTACGGGACGCCCAGGCAATGCCGTACGACGTCATCATTGTCGACTCCATCGACACGGCCAGGAGGCTCAGGTCCGTTGACGACTTCAAGTACCTGCCTATTGTTCTTCTGGCGCCCGTTGTCCATGTGAACCTAAAGTCTTGCTTGGACTTGGGCATAACATCGTACATGACTACACCTTGTACTGCTGTCGATCTCGGAAACGGCATGATTCCTGCCCTCGAGAACCGAGCCACGCCCTCCTTGGCCGACAACACCAAGTCATTCGAAATCCTCCTTGCTGAGGACAACCGGGTCAACCAGAGGCTCGCCGTCAAGATTCTTGAGAAGTACCACCACGTGGTCACCGTCGTTGGCAATGGTCTTGAGGCTGTTGAGGCCATCAAGAGGAAGAAGTTCGATGTTATTCTCATGGATGTCCAGATGCCAATCATGGTAAGTTTCGAGGTTTTTATTTCTAGTCAATCTTCAGTGCAAGCTAATCCCACCCCGTAGGGCGGTTTTGAGGCGACAGGCAAGATCCGTGAGTACGAGCGAAGCCTAGGCTCGTACCGTACTCCCATCATTGCACTGACAGCCCACGCCATGATGGGTGATCGTGAGAAATGCATCCAGGCACAGATGGACGAGTACCTGTCCAAACCTCTGCAGCAGAACCACCTCATCCAGACTATCCTCAAGTGCGCGACCCTCGGTGGTCAGTTGCTGGAGAAGAACCGAGAAAGGGACATGGCTCAGCAGTCGAGGGTTAAGGCCAGCACCAACGAGCACCCTCAGTCTCATCTTCGCCCGCCCATGGATACCAGGTCCTTCACCTCAAAAGAACCAATCATGGGACCCAGCCCGGCCAGCCCCGCTTTGGCCTCAGTGGATCAGGAAGATCCCATTTCTAGGGCACGTAATGGCCTTTCCGACTCGCGCAGCCTAACAAGCTAACTTGGTTTCTTGTTCGTGCGCGCAGCTGCTACTGAGGTCACATAGTTCCTAACTGGAATGTGCAGGGACAGGCTCAGAAAAAACGCAAGTGGCGACCCGAGTAAACACTACGACATGAACATCGTTGTTTTGTCGATGAAATACCCAAAAAAGTTTCACGAGAGCATTGATGAAGGCAACATATGGGCATCATCGCTTCCCCGTGCCAGACCGACATCCGCCCCACGCATACCAGATATCATCTATATACCCGACACGTCACGTCTCCTTCTAGCGGCAGAGGACATTTTGAGGATGGATCCGTCTGAATCTCAGGTTTCGTCATAAAGGCGGGTATGCATAGTGGTCCAGCACACAAAGAAATCGACTGATCTTTGTTGGCTGGCCACTCGATATCTCAGGGCGGGTGTGCACATGGATGGACATTGGGGCTCCACGGGGGAAGGTGAAGGGAGGTCGTTAGGAGTTTTTGTCTGTTTGCATGCTGTCCTTTACCAATGGGCTTAGGGCAGCGGGTCATGCTGCCCTCATTCGTCACCTTCTCGTTCACATTCCATTGTAGTTTTAGTTTTACTGCCATAGCTGAAAACTGCGACAGGGAGGAGAACAGCTGAGCAGCCAGCATTGTAGACTGGTCGCTTCTAGACCTTAACGTTTGCGGGCTTTAGCTTCTGTGGTAGGTCTACCTAACCAGATGGCTTCAGACTCGCATGCCTCCGGCTTGAAGGTTTACCTATGGCAAGATGGGGAAGATTGGGGAATGGGGTTCCAACTTTCGTGAGACCAGGCATTGGAAGTGGATGGCGGGAAGAGAGGGAGAGAACAGAGAGATTTGGTTTTATGTTTCACCCCCTTTAGAAACGAACGGGTTACCAGCAACAAGGGCGTCAAGAGATGGGACATATTTTACATCATTGATATCAAAAAAAGGCCAGGCCGTTTTGGTATGGCTGGATACCCAGATTCTAGATGGTACACTCGGTACAGTGATCATGGCCTCAGCCTGCGTACGTGCGGGGCGGTTCTGGATGCACCAGAGCTCTTGAGGACCGAGTCCGAACAACTGAATTTGACTGCGATTTCTTCCTTCTTGTGACCCCCGCCCATGTTCGAGCGGTCCGCGTTGCCTGGAGGAACACCGTGTCTGGTTTATCATTTGAACATGTCCGAGGCCGTACATGGATGGCCAACCCGCCCGGGCCCCCGGAAGGGCAGAACACGTCTCGACGGCCCCCCCCCCCCCCCCCCCCCACTCTCCCCGATCTCGGTTACAGTAGAAAGTACATTGTGGTCTCTGGTTCCAGTCAAGAGGGTGGGTAAACCTTTGGCCTGTGTCACTCTTTCGGTTTCCGGGTTCCGCTTTTCCTGACGACGGGCTCGGCCGTTCCTGTCCGAGAAGATGGGATTCCCGTCACCGAGCTCCAGTTCCTTCTTAATGCCACGGCACTGTCGAAGACACATGTGCTAGGACCTGGAATCTTTTGCAGCTTATTTGTGTTCCGTATAATCTCACTGATGAGGGCGGGCAGTTCACGAGCTTCCTTGCTCGGCGGCGAGACCCGGTAAGACGAAAAGGCACAGTACCAGGATAGGCTGGGTCTAACGCAGCGTCGTTCAGTAAGTTCGCAGGGTAGAATTGCCGTGGAGAACTGTATCAGTGCTCGTTCCTCGTCGGTGTGTCCGCGTTCTTGGGCTTCCTCGAATTCCTCAGGTGACTGGGCCTTGGCAACACTTCCAGTGACGCCAGCACGGCCAGCAGTTCAGTCCGCGGCGACGGAGCGCGCTCTGCTAACTCAGGATCCATTCCTTCCACAGGGTTGTGATGCGGTATAGTAAACATAAAACCACCATGAGAGATACTTGGGAACTCAACCGCTGCCACGAGGCACGCGGCCCTTGGCTCAACCATGGTTCCACGCCAACAGAAGAACAAGGCCTGTAGAGTGGACGAGAGAGACAAAAGATTGAAATTTCTGCCTGGATAGTCTGCCGTGATGGTAGAACGAAGGGGGGCGTGCCGCTGTCCGCGACAAGCTGTTTGTGAGGCTAGTCACGAGAATCAACGCCTGGGCTACATCCTCACCACACTTCACTCGAAATACCCTTAGGGCATGATAGCCTGTTGAGTCGGGGGTATGAACCTCTTTCGTCCGTGATCTTGAGATATCAGATTGCACTATAGCGGGCGAGCAAGAGGGGCTGAGGGCGGATGCCTCACCGAGCATGCAACGATGTCGACAGTGACACCCGCCCCTCCCACCCACTGGATATCAACTGGGCGACTTATCTCACAAGAGGCCCTCTGCTAACGTAGACGGCAACAATAGTAGACTGAGGAGAGGAGGGAAGAGGTAAGGGTAAGAGGCTTCGACCAGAGACCAATATGCCACGAGCCAAGACAAGCCCGGCAGGCAAAGAAGGACAGCAATGCCGCAAAAAGAGACCGCCCTCCCCCGGGCGCCAACGGCCTACAGTACTAGGTCGAAAGTCTTGTTACAGTCATAAGGATATCCCCCCCACTCACTCTGCCTTAAACTGGTATTCCGGCTGATAGTAGTATTAGCTGCTGATTGAGTTGCGTTTTTGCTGTAAGACTTTTGACCTGGTGCTGTACCTGCTCGCCCCCTTCTGTGCCTGCGGGGATGAGTCAAAATGAGCCATATCGACTTTGTCAGACCGATCGGCCACCAATCTCACATTGCATGCGGAGTTTCTTTTCAACATGCGGCTCGCGGATGGGACGCACACGACTATAAACACCACACACTCACACACGCGCACACAAGTCCGTAGTGTACGTCCGTCCTCTTGGCAGAGGTATCAGACTCAAGGAATCCCCCTCTAACCCATCGAGATCCTCCCACCGCCAAAAAAAGGAGTGTTTGATCCGGCAGAAGAGGGGGATCTGATAGCTTCCCCCTTCAGAACCTAGAGATACACGGCAGGGTACTGTGATACAGTGATACAGTGATACACTGACGGTGAACCGAAGCGCGGCAGCACTACGTCTTTTTTCCTTGTTGATTTAATGTAGAGCACTCGCCGGCGGTGTGAGCGATGCACTATCACTCACTAGTGTTCATCTTATCACGGCAAAAAAAAAGAGGAGGCAGTTCGGAGGGTAGGGCACGTGGGATCATCGTGATTGCTCCACCAGATCGACAGTACTGAGGTGCAACATGCGAGTGGCGAGGATGAATGCCAAGATCCCAGGCGTCCGTTTCGACCGGCGCATCAACTACGACTCTCTCCTGAGAAGAGATGAAGTGAAAAGAGGGAGAAAACCTCACCGGAATCCACTTCAGCCACGCGCCCGCGTTAAGCGCGCGCGCATCATGAAGGAGGGGGAAATGCCAATTACTTTCAATTTGATGGAAATTGTTAGGATTGTTAGAGGGTAGGCAGAGGCGATAAGATGTTGTCGGTGAGAATGCATTTGATAGGCCGGCCCAAACAAAAAAGAACCACTAGAGGAGGGGGTTCAGCCTTGGCCTTCTGGCATCCAGCCCTGATTGTCGCCTCGCCGCAATCGAGAACTATCGCCACCTTGGTCAGTCGCGAAAACTCTCCCAATGTGTGCTCCATCTCAGGACGGCAAAAATCGAGATTGCGCCGAGAAGGAAAATGGGTAGGCCCAGTGTAATGCTGGATCCCATCCTTGCGCGCCCCAGTCCATCACAATCCGAGGCACACTGGCGCGTCTCGAATCCCCAATCCCATCCTTAAGGCTTCCTCGCGGGCTCGTTGGATCCAGGGCCATCTTTCTTCTCCGTATCGGAAGCTCCATGGTGAGTCGTCCCGTCCTCCTTCGAGTTCTCGTTATGTGGTGCCGCGGTGCCAGCCTGGTCGGACTTCCCGTTGGCTTCGAAAGCGGCAAGTAGAGCGTCCAGTCTACTCTCGAGATTTGTCAGGTTGGTCTCGAGCGTGGTGGCGGCTTGTTCGCCTCTGTATACGGTTCTCGGTTAGTCTGATTGCGAAATTCGTGTGGAGAAAAAGCGGTCACGAGGGCGCATCTCGATAGGTAACGAAACATGGGAATCTATCTTTTCGGTCTGGCCACTTGGCTAAGTCTCAAGCGGAAGACGGGGAAGGGAAGGGGTGGTGGTTCCGAATGGCTGGCGCAACGGACTATTGGATATTGTTTGGAGAAAGGGCCTCGGTCGTCGTGGAGGCCATGGGTTGAGACAGAGACGGGAATGATAGCCCCGGGGGCGTAAGACGTTGAGGAGTACTTTCGCCTCACACACTCTGGGCGAACGGTCTGGACCCGGGGGCTGCCTCAAGCTACTTCATCGAGATAGCACCTCCTGCGGGAGCGGTAACCGAATGCCATCGTGACACAAGCGAGTTGTGACAGCGAATTAGACATGGTCGTACCATAGTCCGCTTGGCATCTGCCTACCCCTAAACCCTAGATCTGGCGATGGGGGTCCTTGATCTCGCTGCGTTGCGCCATCCTAGACATAGCATCGCGGGAGGAGGCAAGAAAGCGCCCGGCCGGGCAATGGTGTTGATAACTTCGGTTGAAACAAGACGCAGTGAGGTCTGGATCATCCGCCGTCGGGTGGGCAAGAATGGATGACTGGTCCAGACCTGGGTCCACAAGCGGCAACAAGACGCACAAGTCAGCGCCAAAAGCCGAAGTTTCCAGGGCTGAGGGTGCCATCAACGAGAAGGAAAATAAAGATAGGATAGCTGGCGCGCTGCCTTGACCAGGAACGGTCTGATGTGCATTGGTAGTGCTGCGCCGCGAAAGGGTTCCAGAGGAAGTTTTGGGCAAGGCGCTCGCTTGCACTGCATTGCGCATTCCGCAGTTCCGGAGGTAGTTCCGGTTTTTGTCCAGGGTGCAGACATGCTATTCTCAATATTGTGGTAGTAGGGGTGGAGGCGGCGCTTCGATTTCTCACGCCGGGGGCGCGTGTACCAAGGACGTGAGGGCAGGGGAGAAAGGGAAAATAAAAATAAAAAGGATAATGGGAAAATGCTCGTCGATTGGGCGTTACCTTAGGAGGTCTCTATAGGCCTAGAACGCACCCCAAACGTGGTCAGCCCTGGAACAGTGCACGACGAAGCCTGTCCTATCCAGTATCTCGCCACACCCCACTTCTGCCAACTACCAATGCCCTTCAGCGTCTCTTCTGTTGCAACTACTATAGTGAGTGTGCACTTAAGCCCCGACCGCTCAGGTCTATCTTTTTCTCAACGCCGCCATCTGGTCACCATCGTCAAAGTCGAACCACCTTCCTCTACGCCTTTAGGGCGCAGATGAGGGTCCAGACCGATCCAGTTCTAATGGACAGGGGTGAACTGTGAAGGACAGATGGGCGTGCGAGAGAGAGAGAGAGAGAGAGAGAGAGACGGACAGAGCAGCAACTGTGCAAAGCAGATAGCTGGGGGGAAGGAAGGGAACCGTGTGACCGAGGCGGAATGGGGAGTTGGACAGAACAGAGAGGGGATGGTTTGGCAGGTATCCGTACAAGCAGCAGAATCCAAGGGGCCACGGGTGATGGTGGAAGCCATGAGCCCTCGCCATGGTCCGCTCTCTGCTGGCCCCCCCTTGCTACGCCAAAGTTCCAAACCGCATGCACATATGGACAATACAACATACCTGGGCAATGTTATCTACCGACGACTCGCCGTCTGGCCTGTTCGTTGTCGGAGAGGCGGACTCAGGCTCCTGAGGCGCTGGGGCCATCTTCGGGGACGGCGACGGGGCGAGCGAATCGAAAGGGTCGAGGGTAAAAAGATGGGTAGGAAAAAACGGGAGAAAGTGGCCTGATCTGGGGGTCTCGAGGGAGGAGCCGCCCTCTTTTTTATTTCCTACCCTTTCTTTGCCTTTTGCCTTTTCTCCACAAGTCTTGTCGTAATACGGAACAATGCGGATACTCTTTGCTGTGATGTTCGTCGCTGGCTGGTGTGCAGGCAGGCTAGTGCTAGAAGCTTGCGATAATTCAATCTTTTATTGGGGGTGGCTCAAGCTGCTAACTGACGAGAGAGTGGAATTCCCGAGGGAAAGGCGATAATTCGGTGTCGTCTGACGACCTAATGTGCGTGAAAGCGGATATTTGAGGATAATTGAAATGGGATTTGTACAGTTCTTAGGTAGGGTTTGTCGATGGTTAGTTTTGTCAGCGATAGAATTGTGGTGGTATTGCCCATGGACCCTCATTCCTTCTAAAACACTGGAACACGGATGCAGGTATCCGTATATATTCGCTTATGTAAGGCATGAATGGGCTCGGCAGTACTCCGTATTGAGCGCTGAGCAGGTGCGGTGGGGTAATGATGAGAACAAAAACAATGGCATCCACACATCCTGCAGCCATCTGCCGAGGTTTTTGCTGCAGATAAAAGCGCTAAATATATATATATATATATGTATGTATATGTGTATATATGCTTAGGCATATCACCACATTACCCATCCAGTCAGTGGCCCAGATCGTCTAGTTGGTTAGGATGATACGTTGTGGTTCTTCTATACAGCGATCCGTGTTGACGGCGGTTCGAATCCGCCTCTGGGCATTGAAATGTTTTTTGGTCTCCCCACCCAGATGGCCCAACCTCGCGCTTTCCCTTTGGGAAATCTCAACAGTCACCGCCGTTTATGACGTTGCACTGCTGACAAGGCTGGGTAGCATCGACATTTGCATGCATCCGGATGCACTCGATTAACGCACCAGAACCAGATGCATTGCAAGGATCTGGAAAAAGTATCGCGGACATTTCGGCTCAATGTCAGCATCTGACTTTCATTTTCCGGTCGATCGCCATCTAGCAGACAGATAGATAGATACTCCGTACTTCGTAGATAGATGGGGATAGTCGAAGGATGTTTTCCACATGTGACAGGTCGATGGGAGAAAGCATCCTTAGCTCGGATTTCCACGGCTGAACTGCTGTTTGTCGTCGTCGCTACATCCTGGGATTGATGGGTAGCTGGCAGGTGACGAGCAACCTGCAAGCATATAATGACATGTTTGACATTGCACTTTCGCAGCGAAGCAAGATTGCCTAAGCCTTTTGAACAACGTGCAGGGTGTGGTATTGGCCAGGTTACCCGCCGATATTAGACATTACCGTCCTGCGTATCGTACCGTAAGATACGTAGCAAGAACACCTGTTCCCCACACTCCGGCGTGTCAGACACACAGCCAGAATCCACCAGCATTTCAAGACAAAAGCTGTGAGAGGCATGGTGAATCCAGAATCCAGTCAGTATGTTGCTAATATCGGTCTTGATCTGCATCACCAACCACCACCGAGCGTTTTCTACAGAGTACCTAGGTAGGTACAGAGAGCAGCCGTGCAGCTACAGCCAGCCCTGGGTCGCTTCTGACCTATCATATCAGGGGCCCGGCTGGACCACCCCACTTATCTGGGTGGGACATCAAAAAACTGTCAATCTTTCCCTCTACTGTAAATACTAGCTTTAGTTGGGGGTTTCCGTTGCCTTCTTCGATGCCGCAGCGCATTTCCAGATGACCACCAAGCCCCTCCTGCAGTCAGATCGGATTTTGCTGATGCTCATCAGGAACGATGATATCAGATCCTAAACAAAGCGAGATGGGATGCCACCCCCTCACGACGACGCACTGGCGTCCAACCTTCCCGTGGTTAATTGGTGGCATTTGTTCAATCTCGATGACTCGGAATGGGCGTTCGCGATCGAGATGTTGGAATTGACAGTGTCGCAATCGTTGCGTCCCCCCCCCCATTCGTCTGTAACATACAGTTTTGCGTTCGCACTGGCTGCTTAGCTTGGCTGCCCTGTCTGGCGATCTGCGCTTGCACCTGCTTTGGCGACCATGAGACGTCCTCACATACCTAGGATATTCGGCACCTCAGGCTCGGGAATCTCGAAAGGCAGCGTCAGCCCTGTTGCCCGTGTACCGTTGTGATCGTCTGTGCCGTCCGCGATCGTAATTCTCATATCCATCATGACGATGCGCTTTTGGAGTATGCGCAAACTTCCACTGGCTGCCCTGTTTTGTGGTGGTGTCTTGTTTCCTCCTTCATTCTCTCACACCCATGGTCTCCGTTCCCTCGGCGCCAGGAGAAGCCGATCACTTCCATCTCTCGGCTGATTTGCTGCCTGCTATTTCCCGTTTTGTTGATGCAACTATCGCTCACGGCGGACTTGCCGTGGCCTAGTGTACTCCCCAATGTCAGCCGGCGTGGGCATCGCATGAGGAATTGAGCACTCAAGGGTGGGAAGCCCAAAATGTCAAAGTTGAGTTGGGAGGTGGCTGACTACCTACACTACTTGCTGTGTTGACGCTTTGTAGCGTCACTTGCCGGCTAGTAGCGCGGTCCGCTGCGAAACCCTCTCAGTCCTCCATGGAAAGGATTTGATACGTCAACACCACCCTCCAGTCGCGTCTGGGTGTCCAGCAACAGCCTCTGAGTGCTGGTTGCGTTCGGTATACTGGCGTTCCCTCGTCGTCCGCTTGACAAGTCCAGAACGTTCACTGAACCTTATGGATGGGTGAAGACCCACAATCATGACGATAGGTGCATGAAACCACTACCACGGCAAGTCGCGAACGAGAATATATGTGGTGCTGCCACTGCAACGCTCCGTCATACCTCGCTGGGTTGGTCCATGATCCATCCTGATTTGAGATCGCCAACTCCATGAGATGACCTCGGGATACATGTCCTCTGTTGCGTGTCCGAACGTTACGTTTATCTTGGGTCTTGTCTGCCTTGGGCAACATGGCCCAAGTTCCAGAACGCTCTGATGAATTGTGGAGATGGGATAACCCGGGAAAGGTACATGTGCTCTCAGCGTCACTTGGCGGCCAAATACCATCTTCGGCCAAATGCGCAATCTCCAAGTTGGCAATGGCCTTTGTTCTTTGCCCCTCCATCGCATAGTAATCCTCCCGTTCGAATGGGATACCTAGTTATTTGCCACATTGGTTGATGGCCAAGTGGCTGTTCATTTCAGAGCCAGAGTTACACGGCATGCTGTATGTACCATGAGTAATCACATTGGGAAAACCCGATTCCTCTACCAATCCCCAGTCATATTGGCTCATCGATAGCTTTGCTCAGTGGATTTGTTTACTTCTTCGTGTTCAATGTCGCAAGCAGCCTCTTGGGGTCTTGCAGTCGAGGTCTCGGTCGCTGGCCGTCGAAACATTAGCGTGTCATGTACGTGGTTCTTCCCGTTAACACAACCACTTAGTCCATAGGAAGACTTCTGCCAGCCGAACAAGGGGTGGGTGTGCAAATACAGCATCGTCTTCGCCACTGTCTGTTGTCTCATCCGCACACCGTGACCGAGCCAGCTACAAACGCGGTGCGTTCCTCGATTATTGTGGTCCATAGCGGCCAGATCCATCCGCGTGAGCGTGCTGCGGCAAGGGGGTCGCGGCGTTCGATCGCGGCACAATTGTTCGATTTCAGGTGCCTTTCAGAACTTGGCCTAATGCTCCGTCTCCCCGCAGAGAGGTGTGGCCCTAGCCATGTGCGGTGGTTGAAGTAGCTTGTCTGATTAAGCAACCGCTGACGAGTCGAAGAGCGCGGTGACTGTGGCCTGTCAGGAAAGTACGGTCGACTGCTGCGGTTGAAATGGACATCTAGATTCGGATCCACGGTCAGCTTTCTGGTACTTGACCTTCCCCTCAACCTGCTCGTATTGCGTAGTTCCGTCTCTAGTCTACTTGCATGCTGGGCTCCGTTCGGTAGACTAACGCTGTCCCCTTGCAGTGTTTTTATTGGTGGAACCGGCCCGTCGACTGCTCTACAAATGGAATGTCACCGTGGCTTCTTCATCGCCGAGTGCTGCGACAGTCCCGTTCTTGGTCAACGATGGTGAAAAGTGGTATTCTACAACCAACACATGGCGAGAGAGGTCAAAATGGAGGTTAGCCGTTATCATGAGGAAGAATGCTGCCAGAGACGACGGCTCGAAAAACCCTTGCTGACATGAATATTGCGACAGAACGCGGCAGTATTGCAGCCAGCTACGGTATTGTAGATGCAGAAGCTGCACGCCCCATGGCCAGTCAGCACGGGTTTCCAACAGCGGCATCTGCAGGTGAACGGCGCGGCGTGTTTATGTGTGGGTGGTAGGTACATACCTGTAGTACGGCATCCCACTCGTATGCCAGTATTGAGGTACGATGTAGGTTGGTAGGTAAGGAAGGACAAGGACGAGGCAGGTGGAACGTTTGATGGATGAACCCCCCTCCCCTTTCCTTCTTCATAACAGCACCATCCCTCTCTTTCCTGGCCCCTCTCTGTTTCTCTCCAGGTTGGCCCGCTTCCATCTCTGTGCCCTTCCTTCTGCCTGAGGCGTAAATGCGAATGAATGCCCTGCCACCTGGGGCAGAATGGAAATGGAAAGGGACATGGACCAGGCACGCGCCTCATGTACCGGCACTGTCCTTGCAAGTGCCCCGGGGACCCATCTTAAGCGGCCGTTTCCTGTTCCTGACTCGCTGAGAACCCATGTCTTTCCATCTCTTCCCAATGTCCCCATATTTCCTTTGCTGGCTGATCCCGCTTTTATTTGCGATGGGCTTCCAGTAGAGATGCTTTCTGATGCTGGAATCCTCTCCGACTTCCTAAAAGTCGGTTTCTGCGATCAGACGCAAGGGAGCTTGTCTTGGGTACCTTGGGATATCCATTAGCCTGTTGCTTTAGCTTCTCTGCTTGGGCCTCAGGCGTGCCACCCCGGATCACAAGTCTGCGGCGACGTCGAGGCTACCTACCCAATACCCAGTACATCAACACACACACACACCCTACCTTTGAGATTCCCTTTTGACACCTCTGACCTCACTTCTTAATCCGCGGCGATCACCGCGGGGCTCATTCCCTGCGCCTGTAGCAGTCAACCGTTTACCTAACCCTCCGTTCTGTATCCCTTTCTGTTCTGAAAAGTCGTCGGTCCGTCTTCCCAGACGGTCGCCAACCCTAGTCTTTTTCTTCACCGTTCCAGTCCCAATTCAGCGAGAGGGAAAAAAAGACTTTCGCTGCCGGCTTCTCGCTTTCTTCCTCAATTTCACCCTTTCTCCCTCTTGAACGAGCAGCACTAAGAGCCGTCTTCACCTTCGTCTTGACGCGTCCTGGGACCCTCCACTCGTCTCGTTGCTTCTTCCTGTCGTTATGCGGCTGTAAACCGCCGAGCCGGTTCAGAAAACGCACTCCAAAGCTGTACTGTACGTATCCTCCCACAGCGCATCCCACCTGGGTCTCGAGGCCCCTCTCTGCCTGGGCGATCCCGTTGTCCCACACCCCGGAGCTCGGTCTCCTTCATAATGTCATCGAGATCCGTCCTCTACGTGCAGCCACCCCAACTTGGTATATCCACGCTACGCTTGCCGCACACCTTCGACTTTGATGAGCATCAGCATTAACCTTCCCAGCAGACCCAGACTTAGCATATTCTTCGCAGTCTTCGCCCCGCCACCACCACGACATCACTGCCGCATCATTTCCCATAGTACTGAACGTCCACGAGATTGCTTCCGAATCGCTCGCTGTTTTGACAAAATACATCGCATTCGCCGCTCGCTGCCCAACCTTGTCGACTTGATCTTGGAAGGAGGACTTTGACGGCAGTGGCCTGCACCCAGACTGCCTGGAATTGATTCGCATTCGAAGAGCAACCCGAACCTACGCGCAGTGTTTCGAAATAGCGAGTAGATGGGAACGAGTCGTCAGGAGCCGAATCGAACGAAGGACGTAACGGTCGTACGCCGAGTCGTTAGCCAAACGTCGCCGACGCCAGAACACCGCATCGACATCGATTCTCGATTCGTTAACGCCGGCCAAACAAATCGATAATCTTGAGGCATCGCCTCCATCCCTTACTACCATGGCGCATGAACTGGAAGGCATTTTCTCAGAGCTGGGCATTTCGCAATACCTCGGCATCTTTCTTGAGCAAGGTTTCGACACATGGGAGACGATTCTGGACATTACAGAGTCCGACTTGTCAGTGCACCATCCGGCGCGTCTATTTTATCCTGGAGGCTAACAGGAATTGTATTAGGGATGCGCTTGGAGTCAAACTGGGACACCGACGTGTAAGCCCAAGAAATGTGCAATGGGTTAATGGCAACTGACGAACCGGTCCAGAAATTGCAAAGGCGCATTGCCAACTCGCGAGGCCTTGCCCCCGATGCGTCCCTTATATCGCCCACTAGAGCAACAGCAGAGGAGCCCAAGCTTGAGGCTCAACGGTCTGAACAACCTCGACTTGAAGTGAAGGACGGCCCTGTCGTTACCAAACGCAAGTATCGCCGTCATCCCAAGGTTCGTGCCGACTCCGTTCTGTTTGTACCCCTGTGCGTGAATGCCGCTGACGATGTGGTAGCCTGATGAGAACGCACCAGAACGGCCGCCTTCGGCTTATGTACTGTTCTCTAACAGTAAGTTTTCCGCCGCCAGCCAGCAAACGGTCAATGTCTCGCGCTTCAGCTAATGGGTTTACAGAGATGCGCGATGATCTCAAGGGCCGAAACTTAACCTTCACTGAAATAGCTAAACTTGTTGGGGAGCATTGGCAGAACTTGACGCCAGGTGAGAAAGAGCCTTACGAGACATCGGCTCTCAAAGCAAAGGAAAAGTACAATCACGACCTAGCTGAGTACAAGAAGACTGCAGAGTATAAGAAATACAATCTTTACCTGCAAGACTTCAAGGCGAGGCAGGCTTCTGCCAGTCAAGGTATGTCCTTATTCGCCTCTCAACCGTGGTTGTGAGGCTGATTCTGAATCCAGCAAAAGAGTCCTCTAAACGTCAGAAGCTGGACACTGGCGCCCGGCTGCAAAATGGTAGTGCGAGCGCAACACCGGGTAGCCTGAGCAGCACCGGGAGTGGTACGGAGAGCCATCAAGGGAGTGAGCCGCCTCCAAACCGGAAGCAGCGAGTCGGCTCTGTGGTATCGGTATCTGAGTCCCAATACTCGACGGCTGTCCCGACGCCAATCTCGCACCATCATATCGCAGACGACGCAGTGCACTCGCCCACCAGCACTCAATTTGATCGAGAGAGCTTGCACTCAACAAGCCCCCGTGCGTCCCAGAATCGTAGCCGTCGCCCGACATGGACGGATAACCCACTTAGCACAGAGATGGCTGGGCCAACGACTCATTTGCCGTCGTTGTCGGATATGTTCAGCAATGGGCGGGTGATGAATGGAGTCGCGAGATCTCCCGAGTCCAATGGACTCGGTGGCTTCGCACCACCTCAGCACCCGGGCTCTTCGGTTCCTCCGCCGTTGAAACATGAATACTCGTCGACAGGAAGCTCCACGTCGTCCGGCTCATATCCCCGCACGCCCAGTGAATCTTCACTCCCGATCCATGCCTTATTATCCAACAAACCCCCGCTGGCTTCACCCTACGAGCTGCAGCCATCTGCCTTCACAACCGGTCCTATGGCACTCTCGGACCAGAAACCAGTTTTTACAGGTCAACTGCAGAGCTCTCATGGAGCTGTGAATGGTACACACAGTCATCCTTCGCATAGCTTTCCGCCGAAGCTAATGAGGTTTCAAGGTTACCACTCGCCACCACCTGCCTTGTTGCGCTTCCAGTCAAGCTCCTCATCGGGGACAGAGGGATCCATTGCGTCGTCGCATGCGTCTTCCCTTGCCTCATCCCACGCATCGTCTCAGACCTCACTCGGGGTCCAAGAGAGAAGTGATCCGAAGCTCGACGGAATGAGCGCTTTGGTGCGCGCTGGTGAAATCGTTAACCGACGCGTTCAATGAAGGCTGCGCATTATCAACCTAAGACCCATTTTTATGGACTCTCGAAAGGCTCTCGGAGCTGGCGGCATGTTGGTGACGTTTTCGACATCTTGCTTCAAACTAAATCTTGGTTATTACTGTTGGCTGTGTATTGTCGATGGGATGAGCGCGACGGCCAAAATAAGCCACAAGGCTCAAGTTGGTATGTTTGAGTATTTGAATACCCTCATGGATTGGCATCTTGCTGGGCATCATTTCGGAATCTTATTTTAATGGCGGCGTTTTCGGAAAACCTTGACCGGCGTTTGGGTTGTGCGGACACGGCATCTTTTCTTCTCGCCCTGATAGGGTATGAGCTGCGTGGCACGACCAGACGATACGGTTACCGTGGGATATAGGAATGGAAAGGGTGATGCATGAGACGAAAAAAAGCTCTCTAACAGCTAGAGATCCCCCTCCCCCCCCCCCCCCCCCAAAAAAAAAAAAATTTACAAGTAGCAGTATGAGGGGGGCGGCCTTGAATAAAATGAATCGATCTCTCAGAAGAAAATGAATCGCGAGTAACGTGTGAGGAAGATGGTTGGTACGATATGACGTCAAGGGTGATTGTCTTTGGGCAGCGACGAAAACAAGGAAGTATAGAAAGACGCCCACCAACCTCAACTGGATGGCCCGTCAATGCCAGCTGAGCTACGTATCCAAGGCGGTCCTTCTTGAGGGCACACAGGCAGTGGTAGTCTAACACAGTTGGAATTTTAACACGGTATCATGCCGGATAATTTGGACATTAGAGGCTTTGTCGTGCCTCCAACGTCATAATGTAGTCAACATTTCGAGACCTTGAATCTCCCCCCCCCCGGGCTAAATCCCGGCTTGCCTTGGCAGGATAGGTTTCTCCGTGAGGCGGGGTTTGGGCGTTTCGTAATCCAATCGATAGCCAAGTGGGGACATCGGGAATGTCAAAACGACGACATGGCCGCTGCTGGCTGCCGTTGGTTGGACCCCGCGACGCGTGGTAGGCGTGGTCGCCCTCCACAAACCGGTTAAGATGCGAGGCAGGTTTCGAATATGTACTAATGGAATGACTAGACCCATCAATTCTGATGAAAGATTGTTCGTAGATGAAATCCGAGATGTTAAAGGGATAACTGGACCGTCAACGCGTTGCCAAGGCCCAACGGGAACAAGTACTAGTTCCCGTGTGGAGGGGAGCCTTCCGCGAGGTGATTGAGACGACTGGGACACTGCCGGGTTAAGATATTTGCGTACAAGGCAATACCTAGATGGTTGGGCCGTCAACTCCAAACTCCCCTTATGCTGGTCCGGGTTATTTCTCTAGGTACTCATTCATTACAAAAGACAGACATCACATTAGACTTCCTCCCCAGCTCAAGCCGCTTAGAATGTCAGGAAGGCTTCAATAAGGATTCTTTTGCCGCCCAGTTCATTCATGGTCGAACGTGCCCAACCGTACAGAAAAAACAAAACCAACGTGTCGTCGTTAAACAAGATTAAACGCCCGGCCCCGGCTATACAGCATAGTGGCGAGTCTGATCCAGATTTTCTTCTTTTTTTTTCAAGAAAGAAAAAAGTAAAAAAAAAAGAAAAAAGTAAAAAAACTCTCCGGCCCATCCTACTCCGCCCCTGTGATCTCAGCAGTCCAGTCTTTGCGGATGTTTAGTTCCGTAAGCTCAGGAGTCTTCTCGATGACCAAACCCTTTTCGTTGGCGAGATGTAGCAGACTGATAAAGCAGAAACTCGTCGAGATATCCTCCATCATCTGCTTCGGGTAGACCGAGTGCAGACCATTCATGACCTCGGTGAATCTCAGTGATGTGTCCTTGGACGTTTCTTCGGGTGTGGCAGCCGCAGTATCGTTGGTCGGCGGTGCAGAGTCCTGGTATCTGAGTCAGTACACATGCTGCGGTGCGAACACAAGCCAAAGGGTTTACTTACACCATCCAGCCGTTCCAGGTCCATGCCCTTCCAAATCTCCTCCTTCAACCGCCGGACGTCCACCCTCTTGGCCACACGTGCGTATTGCACGTAGTCTGGGCGGAGACGGCGAGTTTGCGTGACTAGCGTCGTCCCGAAGGCACCGGTGAGAGCATTGGTTGCAGTATCGCCGCCGAGCAGGGCTGTTAAGCCAGCTGCTTCGGTGGCGCCAGCATCACCCTCGGCCATGGGCGAGAAATGCTCACGGGCATCCGCAAACTCATCGTCCTCGTCCTCCAGACCTCCAGCGAAAGGAAGAGCATCGTCCTGAAAGAAGTTGGCGTCGTAGTCTCCTTCCGGCAACGGCGTCTCCTCCTCATTTTTCATCGGTGCTTTTTGTTGTGCCCAGAATGCCTCATCCATCTCGCCTTCTGGTACATCCCTCTCTGGCCCAGCAGTGCCGAACATACCGCCCCTGTTGCTCAAGACTCGCCGTCTGCTAAGGCGAGCCTTGGGCTTGAGGAAGAGGTTGAGAAGTGACTTGGAGTTGAAGTGCTTGTCGTCTGGAAGCAAGTTGCGTGACTTCGACTTCCAGTCCTTCTTGGGCATGGAGATGGCCGAGTTGCTGGAGGCCTGAGTAAACAGTACATCGGCCAAGCTCTGGTCGAGTGGCGCAGAGAAGTCGATTTCGAAGGGCTCCTTCTCTTTCCGCACGCGGGCGGGGCCTACGGGCTTGTTGACATCCTTGATCTTTCGGATTCTCCAGTGCTCAGCACTGGACCAGTTCTTCTGCAAGGCCTGGTCGAAGTAACCGAGGATATCTTCATGCATCTTGTCGGCGCTTTGTGCGTGGGACATTGACACGACAAAATCACCGTCGCGTTGATCGAGCATTTCTACGCCATCGCCTCCAGCAGCATCCTCGCCAAGGCCGGCGTCGTAGACTCGCATCTGCGGCTCAAGCGCAGCTTCCCTCGCCCAAGCCTCGCCGCCCTCACCGAATGCGACATCCGCACCGATTTCGAAGCCGCCGAGGCCAAGGTCGTCGTCGTCGAAGCCAGCCGCGTTGTCGCCGTCAATAAACATGCCAGAGTTATCTCCGAGCAGGTCTGGGGACTTGTCCTTGTCCTGGTCTCCTCTCCAGTCCTCTGGCGCCTTGAGAAAAGGAATATCCATAGACCCTGAAGGGTTGCCGAGGTCAAAGTTCTTCAAGGATGGACAGACGTCCAGCTCATCAAGGCGGCCCAAGTCGGGGAAGAACTTGGCACCTAACGCTCCAACGTCGATTTCCACGTCTTCAGTGTCTTCCTCCTGCTCATGTTCTTCTTGTAACGCCGAAGCATCTTGCATTTCAGTGTCCTCATCCTCGGCCTCGTCGTTCTTCTTTCTTGTTTTCGAGGTATGCGCGTCGCCGACATCATCGCTACTGTCAAAGACGATACGTCCCTGTGCATCGATCATGAGATGGTTGAGAAGCAGGCCCTTGGCACCTCCTTCGTCGAAGTCGGCCGAAGTCTTCTTGAAAAGAGGGTCTACGGCGAACTCCAATTCGAACTTCTTGAGCTGGAGCGAGGAGAAAGAAGGCGCGAGGGTCGCCTCGGAGGATCGCTGGGTCTGCTGGAGTTAGGATTTCGTTGTGGACAGGGAGCTCTCGCACATACCTTCCGCTTCGGCTTCTTCGTAACGTTACCTTCCTCATCAATCTCCTCCTCACTCTCCTCACCCTCAGCATCGTCACCTTCCTTGCTTTTTTTCTTGTTGCTGTCCGCAAGACCACTCAAAAGCTTGCCAGTCTCGGTTGCGACACTGTCGACTCTGCTAGTGTAGATCTTTACACAGCCGTCTAACGTACAACTGGCTTTCTGAAAGTTGACTCCATCGCCCTCCTTGAGTAAGGACATGTCGTGAAAGTAATCGATCAGTGCGAAGTTCCAGGAGTTGTTTGCGTTGATCTTGTTGTCCGTTGCCATCTTCATCCATTCTTCGAAGTTGGCGAGAATCGGAACGCGCTTCATAGGCGTGACCGCGCTTCCGCTAACGACGAAGCCTTCGTCATCGTCGTCAACAATGTGCCTACCGCGGCTCCCGCGGGCGTGTGGTGTCTTGGGGTTCGAGCCTGGTGTGTCATTCTCAAGGTCTTCCAAGCTGCCGTTGTTCCTGCGCAAAGGCGTCGCGGCGGCTGCCTTCAGTTCGTTGCGTTGGCGCTCGTGAAATGCATGGCGTGAATGCGCTCGCCGCGCTTTTTCTTCCGCATCGTCGTTGAGGGGGATTCTGGATGACGTTTAGTCCCGTTGCTAGGCAATGTGGGCGAGGTGATAAGGTCGCAAACATACTTGACTGGTGAGTTCTTGAATGGCGATGCATTCATCGACCCAGAGGTCGCTCTGACGCTGCTGGCGCGCGGTACTTGGGCCACTCGAGGCATCTTTGTGCTGTTGACACTGAGGTTGTCGTCAGATTTGTTGATTGTTGCTGTGCTGTGTGCTCTGAGCGCCGGCCTTGTGTTTACTTTCCCCACCAAGCACGCCCCAAGCGACGGGACGCGAAACAACAATAAAGGGTTTTGGCCTTAAATACCAGGAGCAAATGCCATCCTTTCGGGCCGGCGCGGGGAAGCTGAAATCCTGACTGATCCGTTTCGTCCAAATTCCAGCATGAATTACCAGCACGTGACGCAATATGGTTTCTGCCAGTTACTGTGGAACTGTTCTCTTGCAGTTGCCGTTCCAATCAGCCCCTCTCTCTTCGAGTTGCCGCTTCTGCGATACACAGCCACGTCGCTGACAGTTAGCCTGTGCCTTTGTTAGGCGTTGGCTTGTTTCAACCGGGGGCACTGCCTGTGGACTGGCCAAGAACTTGCGACGCTCCCCGGTTCCTGGGATTCTTAGGCAGGTTTTCGCGGGCTGCCTCCCTCAGATCTCAATGAACCAACGGTACATGAATATGGAAGAGCGCTGCGCATTTTCGCACTTCAGCTCAAACCCGCCGTAGCCTTTTTCTTGTATGTATTGCGACTCTTTTGAGAGACACACATTCCTCTTCGAGCAGCGGAACGAGCGGTATCACACGGACGCCAACACAAGTGCGATCTGCCATGGCTTCGGATGAGCCAATTGCACACCAGGTTTGACGTCAGCATGCCAGCGGACTCCAAGCTTCGAGGGAGCGGCCTCCGTTTGCGGCCATTCTATGCGACTGTCTTTCTGATATCTCTATTGGCGTTGTGGTCCCTTTTGAGCAAGACGACCGAGAGACAACTTCGCCTACAAGACACCTCCGCCCTCACCAAACGATCCGAGCTCACAGCATGCCGCGATGTCCACCGCGCCGACGACCAGTGTGCCTTTGTTAAGGCGCACTGCGCCGACGACGAGCCTGGCCTCCTCTCTTACCTGACGCTTTATTACTGCGGTCTTGCCAAAGTCCAGTCCTTGGCCTTTGTCATCCTCGTGTGCTGGCTCGGCTTGCTCTTCACCACCATCGGCATCGCCGCCAGTGATTTTTTCAGTGTCAACCTCAACACCATCTCTGCCATTCTGGGCCTCAGCGAGAGTCTAGCTGGCGTCACGTTCTTGGCCTTTGGCAATGGCTCTCCCGACGTCTTCAGCACCTTTGCGGCCATGAGCTCCAATAGCGCCAGCATGGCGGTTGGAGAGCTGATCGGCGCAGCGGGCTTCATCACCGCCGTGGTAGCCGGATCGATGGCGCTGGTCCGCGAGTTCAAAGTGGGGAGGAAGACCTATGTCCGGGATCTATCCTTCTTCATCGTCGCCGTATGCTTTACCATGCTGTTCCTGGCCGACGGCCATCTGCATCTATGGGAATGCATAACGATGATTTGCTATTACATGTTTTACGTGGTTACCGTTGTTACCTGGCATTGGTATTCAACGAGGCGGAGTCAGCAGCGCGCCCGTGAAGCAGCGGCACGAGGCCATGTATACGGAGCGGTGGGGCATCTCAGCGACGAACTGGCTCCGGAGCCGTACCGGGATGATCCTAACGAAGAGGACCGCCGCGTAACGTCTGTGGTCGCCTCTAGCACCAGGGACATCAATATGTTGGAAGCGGGACCAAGAATTGAAGTTGATGGTCACGCTGAAGAACAAGATGAGGTGGAGGATAGCGACCATGGGCGGCACGTTGTGGCGGAGATGGCAAGCAGCATGCGAGTGTTGCGACCTAGAGGCAGACGACGCAACACCCTCACGCCTATCCGCCCTAGTTTGGTCGGTGCCTTGGAGTTCCGGTCAACTCTTGCACAGTTACAAAAGGAAAGCAACCACAGAATGCGACCGATGCATGGCCGGGCATACTCGGTCAACCATCTCGGGGGTGTCAGCGAAACAAATACGATCTTGGGGCCGCCCTCCGACTCGGGAAGATACACAATCGGCGCGGTTGAAGAGTTTGGGCAGAATAGGAATCGTGCCTTGTCATCTGGCGACGTTCCGGGTTCCGTCACCAGCCGAGATCCCTCCCCTTGGCGTTTTCCCCCTTCGGCGGCCCACGCCAACCCAATCCTACAGGTCAAGGCCCAAGACGCTAGGAACCGAAGTCGATCGCCGGCTTTCAAAATCGGTGGCAATTTGGCACCTCCCCCAGTTGATATGGCGCCACCCCAACGTCAAGATTCAGGTGTTAGCAATGCCATCGAGCCTCGGCCGTCCCCTGGTGTCCTACCTTCACTTCAAATACCAAGTCGGCGCGGAAGCTTCAGCGACAGGTCCTCTCCTATGTCGCCTTTCCCTGGCTATACAGAGTCGCCTCTTGCACTGACGCCAGCTGCCCAGAATGAGCAGACCGAGTACTTCACGTCGTCCGGCGTAACTCGCCTAGAAGTTCCTTTGGCACCTTATAAATTGGTCACTCCCAAGCCAGTGAGGTGGTGGCCATACGCAATCTTACCCCCACCGCACATCCTCTGGGCAACATTGTTCCCGACCTTGCTGGGCTGGAAGCAGAAGAGTCATTGGGACAGATTTGTCAGTGCAATCTCTGTCCCAAGCATCTTGCTACTGGTGGTGACGCTACCGGTGGTAGAAAACGAGAGCGCCGACGATTCCTTGGATGAAACTGGCGCGGATCCGTTGATGCGGGAACATGCTCATTGCGATGTTATGACTCCAGCAGCTGCCTACGACGGTATCGGGGAAGAGACGGAGTGGCAGCGCTTCAGACGGAGCACCATGTCACATTCTCGTGTGCATTCTGTGCATTCCATTGATCGGTCGCCAAGGGATTACTCTCCGAAGGCCTCTCCAGCGCTCATCGCAATCGAATCCCCGAATGGTGCGCGTGTGTCGGCGGAAATACATCCGCAACACACCAAAAAAGCAACATTGTTGCTTTCTGAAAGCAGCCTTGTCGCTGCCGATGATTCCGGACATTGGAACAGATGGCTTGTCGTGATTCAACTTTTCACCGGTCCTGTATTTGCCGTCATTATATTATGGGCGAACATGAAAGAGGACTTCGATCAACCGTACAAGACCCTTGTTAGGCTCGTTCTCTATACACTCATGGCGTCTACGGCACTACTTGGATTTCTGCTCTTGACAACGAGCCCCGATAAACGGCCCAAGTATCACTTCCTGCTGTGCTTCATGGGGTTCATAATCGCCATCGCCTGGATCTCCACTATTGCTAGCGAAGTGGTTGGCGTCCTGAAAGCCTTTGGAGTGATATTCGGCATCTCCGAAGCACTTCTCGGGCTGACTATCTTTGCAGCGGGAAACAGTGTAGGTGACCTGATTGCCGACATCACTGTTGCCCGGCTTGGATTTCCCGTTATGGCTCTGTAAGTTCCCCTATGGCTCGATTTACCCATGTCCCTGCTAATAAGTCATCAGATCCGCTTGTTTCGGCGGTCCCATGCTTAATATCCTTCTTGGTATTGGCATCGGCGGTGTTTACATGATGGTCCAGGCTGCCAATCATCGGCATAAGAAGCACCCTGACAGGCCATTCAAATATCACTCGTATGAAATCCAGATCGGAGGCACATTGATGATTTCTGCTATCACTCTGCTCCTTACGTTACTAGCCCTCTTGATCATTGTTCCGATGAACAAGTGGGTGATGTCACGCAAAATAGGATACGGATTGATCGTGCTGTGGACGGTTAGCACCATTTTCAACGTCGTTGTTGAGTTGACCGGGGTTTGGACCGACGTGTCCTATCCTTTTACATTTTAACGTTATCAGTATCTCCTTGCTAGCGTACGTACACGAGGCCGCATCAGTATTTGTGCCAGTATATTACATATATACGTATACCCCAGCATTGTGTCCGATGAGAAACAAACGATTCTCCGTTTTCCTATCTAGACAGTCTTTACCTTAGCAGTACAAAGGAGGAGAGCCCAGGCAATCACATAAGTGTTCGATACACAAAATTTCTACCATATATTCATCTTGATGACGAATCTGCCACACATCGGTTGTTTCCTTCCGCTATTGGTCTTCCCAAGTACTAACATGCCCAACGAGGGACGAGTACTGTTTCGTTTAGCGAGCAGACATTCACATTGGTCGATTCTTCTGAATTAAGGCACAGTCCCACGTTGCGCACGTCGAGGATCATCTGATATGTCTGTTTCGCACAGGATTGGGACACGCCGTGCTCCTCGATGAGAGGCATCCACAGCCGAGCTGTAGCTGCTCATCGAGACGAACTTCCCAAGTTCTTCGCAAGGTGGAACCCAAGGTTTCATCTGGCGTGTTCGCTCTCACAGCTCGGATGCGTATGCCAGGCTATGCCATTCGGATCGTCTGTGTATTTCGGTAACCTTGTGCCTATGAGAGCTGGACTCGTGTGATGATATCGTGGGATCTTCTCCGTGCTACCACGGCGAGCGAGAGATATAAAAGATGTCAGTATCTGTCACAGCCTCTTGGTTCCTCTCCCGGATAACAAGCTGTCAATTCTCATATCCTCTTGACAGGTAATTATACAAATCCATCAGTTTAATATCGGTCTTAACCAATAAGAGACTCTACTTATCATCGACAAACCCCCAAAAACACAATGGGAGGCTTCGACAAAGTCACCGATCTGGCCCAGCAGCTCGCCGGCAAGGAACAAACCGGGCAAGGCCAAGAGAGCCAACAGGATTCGTCCCAAATCTCAGGTAGCAATCAGCAATGGTCAGAGGTTGGTCTGGAGGCCAAAAAGGTCTTTGCCAACTATCAAGCCGACCAAGCCGCTGGCAAGGGTCCAGAGTACAATAAAATTGGCGGCGTTGCTCAGAAGGCGTTTTCTGCCTACAGCAGCGGCGGGGAGAAGAGAGATCTCGCTGGCATTGGGAAGCAAGTTGCCGCTGGTTTCAGTGGTGGCCAAGAAGCTGACAAGGTCCGCAACTCTAGTGAAGTTGGGGATGGCATGTTTCAAAGTGGCGGAGGCCAGCGCAGTTTTGGGACGGATGAAAGTGATGTTGATGGCGGGGATGGGAAGAGGGGCCAGAAGTCTCTGAGAGATCCACTGCACTCTACGACGGCAGAGGCAAAAACAAGTTCAAAGAGTGAAAGGTTCTCGGGACAAGAAGAGCCCTATGAGGCGGCAGGGCTTGGGTCGCAAACTGAGCGAGATGACCAAGATGGCACCATGTTCCAGAAGGGCGATTTGGATGAGGACGAAGGCGTTTGCACCGGAGGCCAGAGTAAGGGGCGGGAGGCTACGAGTGGTACAGCGGCCAACCAAGGTAAGAAAAAGAATCACACAACTTGAGCTATCACTTCGTCCTTCAAGACTAACACTGACTTTGACAGGGCCTAACATCGAGAGGGTTGCATCCACACGTGAAAAGGAGTGTTCTCTCGAATCGCCCATTGTCACTGGGGTAGGTTTAACAACTTGATGCAAATGGCTTTTACACGTTGACTTACCAGGTAATTCTTAGGGTAAGACGACATACTCGGGCCGCTCGAATGAGTGGGAAGAATGAGCCATTCGTGGCCTACATGTTTCATTAACAGAGAGGCGTAGCTGGATACAGGTCTCCTTATTTTCATGCCCACCTACCTAGTTCGCAATAAACCGCAATATCTGGCCTTTCCAGCCAATACGTCCTGCAAAGATGCCATGCTGTGTCTATGGTGCATGTTTGCTTAGGACATGAGCCCGAATGTGACAAGTCCAAGTGAATGACCGTCCAATTACCGAATCGGAACGATGCACAACCTCCCCTGTGCCGTCCCGACTCCACCATTAGACCCGAAGCACACATCCCTGCTCGGCCGCGCCAAAGGGGGATTTATTCAGGCAGCGACGATCAGCCACGGTCTAGCGTTATGTCAGTGCTCTCTCGCCCGCCAGAATCAATGGTCCCTTGCGCCTCTAGCGACTTTCAAGGCAGGCCAGGAACCTTGCAGAGGCCACGATGTCTTCATCCAAGGTGCCTTAGCATGGGAGATAATGTGACCACGTTTCTGGGACTGCAATGTAAACAGGTATATTCGTCATCGAGCACTGCCACAACTTGCGTGGACGCGCAGCTGGGTCGTTTCAAAAACGATCACCCTCATCTCGGCTCAAAGCCAACGGTCTCAGTATGGACGGCCCAAATGTAAACGTGAAGAGCAAGCTGTCCTTAGAACCGTAAGGCCAGCGTGGACCTTGGAAGAGGATGACAGATCGGCATGGGCGTTAGTCACTCTGTGAGATCTGTCAGTTGAGGAACTGACAGGTTCAGTCAGGGCGGTACCGACTCCATTGTCGAATCATGTGCGTCAATGCCATGAAAAGGTCAATATACAGTTCTGATCAAGGATATAAAGCAAAGGCAACATCGCCATGGATGGCAGTGGTTGTTTGTTTGTTTGTTCTTTGCGCCTGCAGCTTCAAACCCAATCATCTCTCTCTTGCCCCAGAGACCCTTGACTAGCAAAACAGCCCCCCCCCCCTTTGCCCCGCCATCCCAGAAGCAACCCCGCGCCGTGCCTGTCACATCCCGAAAAGAGCTACGGCCTTCTTCTTGACCGCCTCCTTTCCAAAAAGAAATACCCTTTCTGGTTTGTGTGTGTGCGTGTGTGTGTGCATTCCAAAGGGACCTTGACTCGACTTCAAATCCACGATACCCAAACTGTTGCGCTCTCGACCCGACCTCTTTTGTCTGCGCATTTACCGATCAGTTTGTCGCAATGGCTACTACCGTCCCTAATTACCCTCCTCTTGAGGATCGTCCTCTTCGCAATACCATCTGTCTCTTTGACGTCGACGAGACTCTCACTCCCGCCCGTCGTGTAAGCTTCCATACCCTGACGCATCTTCCCAAGCTCGCTTGTACCGCCCTGCCTCCTCTAACCTAAGCTAACCCTTGTCCCTCCCTTGTCCTAGCATGCCTCCCCCGAGATGCTCGAACTCCTCGCCCGCCTCCGCCAAAAGTGCGCCATCGGTTTCGTCGGCGGCTCCGACTACTCCAAGCAGCAGGAGCAGCTCGGCAACGCCTCCACGCCCGTCACCGCCCTCTTCGACTTCTGCTTCTCCGAGAACGGCCTGACTGCCTTCAAGCTCGGCCAGCCTCTTGCCTCCAACAGCTTCATCAAGTTCATCGGCGAGGACCAGTACAAGGAGCTCGTCAACTTTGCCCTGCACCACATCGCCGACCTCGAAATCCCCATCAAGCGTGGCACCTTCATTGAGTTCCGCAACGGCATGATCAACATCTCACCCATTGGCCGCAACGCCTCCACCGCCGAGCGCTTGGCCTTTGAGGAGTACGACAAGGTCCACAATATCCGCCGCGACTTCGTCGCCAAGCTGCGCGAGCGCTTCGGCCACCTCGGCCTGACCTTCTCCGTCGGCGGCCAGATCTCTTTCGACGTCTTCCCCGCAGGCTGGGACAAGACGTACTGCCTGAAGCACCTTGAGGACGAAGCCAAGAAGGAGGGCGGCATCAAGTACGAACAGATCCACTTCTTTGGCGACAAGACGTTTGAGGGCGGTAATGACTACGAGATCTATGTCGACGAGCGCACCATTGGCCACTCCGTCCACGGTCCCGAGGACACCATGCGCATTATCAAGGAGACCTTTGACTTGTGAATCGCGCCGGCGGAGTGCAAGCCCTGAGGCGGGCGCAGAACGAGCGACGTACGAGTTTGAGCAAATTGGGCCTGAAAACGGCCCGACAAAATGGGGGTCTGGAAGAAGGAAGAAGAATATGGGCTAGCTTCTAGACTTGGGCTGTATGTAACACAGGAGGGGAAACAGGCCTCTCCGCGTGTCGGCGAGCGGCGGAACGACCTCTCGCGGCTTGGGGTTTTTTGGTAGAGCGACTGGGAACGTATCACAATGACCAAAGACGCTGCATGGTTCGCCCAAATGTGATGATGGTCAACGAGCAGAGCATGGGATCCAGGGACACACACGCACACGGCTGTTTTGTTGACATGTAAATGTTTCAACTATGGATAGTACCATCAGCTCGTCAGGTTGCCGCCGGGTGTCCTGATCCTTCTCTCCAGCTCGCCTGAATTGGTGGGAGAAGAATATTGAAATATCCAAGAAAAAAATAAAAAGGGAGGGGACATGGAACATGAATAAAAACAGTCGTTGCCAGCTCAACAAAAGATGGAAAAAAAAAAAAAAAAACTCATTTAAAAAGAAAAGTCTTCAGCCCATCGTTCCCCCTTTCTTCCTTCTACCGACCGAACTCCAGGTGGGGCACAATCACCGGCCCGTACTTTGTCGGCGCCGTAAAGGCGCCGTCTCCCTGCACCACGAAGTCCACCGCCAGGCTCAGCTTCTGCAGGCCCTGCTGAGGTTGCTGCGGCTGCTGCTGCTGCTGCAGCTGAGGCTGCTGGCCGGGGATGGCGTCGGGGTCGTACACAACGACGGCGACGTAGTTCCTGCGGCCCATGAGCTTCTTGAGCTCGCGCGCGGAGCCGCTGGCGTCGGTGTGGAAGATCTCCATCATGTCCTCCTTGGTGTCCGAGACCTCGTGGTTGGACTTGTGGCCGTTCTGCGGCACGTAGAGGCTCTTGTTGTTGTGGAGAAGCTTGAGGATGTAGTTGCTCGCCGGCTGCGCGACGATGGGCGACGTGATGACCTGGTACATTGTCTTGTGGTCGCTTGGGTGCGTCGGGTCGTGGACCAGGCCTGCTCCAGCACAGTTGACGTCTGGGGGGGGAGAGAGAAAGAGACTGCGTTAGCACCATACGGAAGGGAAGGGGAGGGTTCGGGGCATAAGCAAGGTGCGAGGCTAACTTACCTCCAGATAAGAAAGTCATGCGGATGCCCTTCTGCTGGGAGATGCCCTGGAGGGTCCGGATGAGGTACGTCCTCTCCAGGTCTTTGGAGTCGTGCGTCCACATGTCCTTGAGGATCTCGGCGATGTCGATCTCGCCAAACTGGTTCAGGACGTTGCCCATGAGACCGGACTTGCCGACGGCCTTCTTCACTTGGGTGAATCCCTGCGCCACGACGTCCTTGCCGCCAACGACGCCGGCCACCGAGCTCGTGACCTTGCCGAGCAGGTTGTACGACGAGTTGACGACCTTCTTCCCGGTCGCCACGGCGCCGGCCAAGCTCTCGACTGCCTCTAGGCGAGGGTAGACGAGCGGTACGGACACCATCCATATGCAGTGCTGCACGCTGGGCGGCAGCGTCGCGACCTTGGGGAATATGCCCTGGTAGGTCGGGCCGGCCATGACGCGGGTCTGGTTCCTCTCGGATCGGCAGTCGGGACCAACGACTACCACCGCGGGACCGAGGTACTTGACAAAGTGCCAGCCCTGGCCGGTGATGGTGAAGAGGTCGGTGTCGTTGCTGACGTTGCGGAGGATCTCCACCGTCGTATGGTGCTGGAAGAGCAGGTACATCTCGACTGCGATGCGGCCGACGTTCTTGAACATCTGCGAGCCTTGCATATACTCGGGGTACGAGCCGTAGCCATCAAAACTAAAGGGGGGTCAGCCAATGAAGAAGCATGCCTGGCACCGGGGCCCGCTTTCCGACTTACATGTCGTGATCGTCGATCTGCAGAATATGCGGGATCTGGGCGAAAGCTTCTCGCAAGTAAGGCTGGTCAAAGTGGCTGGTGTAGTAATGGAAGTAGGCGTGGGAGACGTCTTCCTCGTGGCGCGCCGTCCATTGTGCGTTCTTCCTGTTGTCTCGGCCGCTCATTGCCAGCCACTGCTTCAGCAAGGGGACTTCCTTCCACAGCCTGTCGCCGTAAATCTGGTCTCCCAGACCAAGCTGGACGTGGAAGCCGCCGCAGTCGACGTTCTTCTGGAGCACGTCCTTCCACATGAAGCCCACGCCGCCGAGCTTGGAGCGTTCATTCTGGGATGTTGATGCAGCGAAGTCATTGTTGGAGTGGGCGATGAACCTCCAGCCGGTCTCGTGACGACCGGCAACGACAAACTCGTACCGCGTACATCCCAGGTGGGATGTGACGGCGTACGTCCATCTCTCAGTTCCGCTCTCGCTCATGGGCAGATCGATGTCATACTTGTAAAACGTCCAGCGTTGGTGCGTGAAGATGTTGTGCGGTATCAGCTGCCGCGGGTTGGGCGAAAGGTCGTTGCTCGGGTGGATGTGGATAGTAGGCGGCTGCGGTGCGTCTGTCACGATCATGATGCTTCCCAGCCACGAGCCCTTCTCAAAGTCCATGTTGCAGTATCGCAAGTAGGGGCCGAAGTAGACACCGTTCGTGGGCTGGATCCTGTACATATCGACGCCGGCACTCGGAGGCGGTCCGGAGAACCCAGCCGTAGTTGGGGTCTGAGAAGCCGCGACGCTCATGATGCTCTCAGCATAGCCTGGTGTCTGAGGGGGGAACATGGGGGACCCAAGAGGCTGCTTCCCGAACATGGGCGAGGCGAGGGGATTGCCGTATGTCGAGGCGGTAGGCGACAAGGGTGCTGCCTCATGCTGGATCGGGTTGGGACCCTTGGGAAACTCCCATTGCGTAGCCTGGGTCGCCAGGTGGATGTAGTAGTACTGTCCGGAGTTCTGGTCAAGATGCGCAATCCAGCCTTCTGGCAGCGGAGGCGGCGAGGATGGACCCGCGCCTTGAAAGCTCGCAGGGGCTTGGACTGTTTGCACGACCGGGGCGGTCTGCGCTGCGGAAGGCTGCCCGCCATTCTGTTCGGGTCTCGGGTCGTTAGCGAAGGCCGGGTGACCTTGAAGAGCAGGCGACGCCAGACCCGCCGCAGCAGGAGCGGCTGTCGCGGGCTTCTTCGGGGGCGACTGCGCAGCGGATGTAGCAACAGAAGGCGTGGAGTCTGCTCTTTGCTGGGCAGGCCTCTGTTTCTCGGCAGGGTAGGACGAGTTGCTTGCGGGCGTGACGCTCGAGTAGGCGGGAGGAGGGTCGTTTAAACCAAGACGCTGGTAGTCCTGTTCGAGTACGCTGACCTGGAGGGCGGGCTGGTCCCCTTGGTTCGCCGCCTGCGGTGGAGGGCTGAACGTGGACTGCGTAGGGCTGGCCAGCGGGTTCACGCCCTGGTACACCGTCGGCGGTCCGTGAGGTTGGTTCTCTGGGTTCTCGGTTGGTGTCCACGGCCGCGCCGGGGGCGGTGCCCCGCCGTACTGGGCCAATCTCTGCGAGGCCGCGGCGCTCTGTGCCTGTTGCGCTTGCAGGCTGGTCAAGGTCGCGGTGCCCGAGATACCGGACGCGGCATATCGCGCCTCGATGCCCCCGCCAGGGACAACCCCAGGCTCCACAATCGGGGTCTCTGGCGGGGGTGGAGATCCGCGACTGGCGCGGGTTGTCGAGGTTGAAGCGGTAGAGGCGAATCTGTTCACATTGCTCTGGCCAGGCATATCGAGATGATCAGAGGACGGAGGTGGTCGGCTCTGGTACTGGCTCTGGGCAGGCGGCGAGGAGCTAGATGCGCTTGCGGGCGGAGGGTAGTAAGGCTTCTTGGTGTAAGAAGGGTAGTTTGTGGTAGAAGCGGGCGGACGCTGAGGTTGTGGCGCGGTCAGGGGCTTCGAGAAAAGACCTCCGTCGTCGCCAACTGGGCTCTGAGGAGACGTAGCGCCCAAGGGCCTCGGACCCGTACCACGCCGTTCGGCGAGGGTAGGGCTCTTCGTCTCGACAGGGCTGGCATTCAAGCGCGGGGTGGTATCATTGTAGTCGGAACCGAAGCGTTTTGGGGCAGTGATGGTGGGCTTGGTCGGTTTTCCGGGGCGGAGGTCTTCTTCGTCGGGGTAAGGCAGCGGTGCAGCGGAGCTCGAGGCGCCTGGCGGCAGAGGGAAGGTCGGTTTCGTCAAGAAGGACGAGCCGGAGGCGGACGGGGGAGCGGGATACTTGAAGCGGTCGTTTGAAGGATTGGGGCTCTGAGGTTTGAATATCCTTAGAGGCTCGACCGTGGGGCTGTCGCAGTCCTCCTGGGCAGGTTTGTGGAGAAACAGCTCGGCGTCAGGGACACCGCGACTGCGCTCCATGACGAATCGTGTCTAGGTAGGTAGCAGGAGTCGGTATCTTGCGTTCGACTTGCGCAGGTACGCGCAGGCTTGGTGCAGGCTACGCTACGAATGACGCACTGCGAGGGCTCAAGTCTGCAGGCCAGGGGGGGTGGGAATTTATTTATAGGAGCTGTCGAAGGTCGACGTTTCGTGCCTTGCCGTTGGATGCTGGAGAGGATCGCAGCTGATGGGGGGTTGGTGGGGTCCGAGTCTTTACGGAAGAGGTCGCATATATGGCCGGCCGGCTTGTCAAGCCGGAGAGATGGACGGAACAGATGCGGCACGGGCGGGATATAGGACACCAAAAAGTGCGAGCTTCGAGAGGAGGGAGAGCAGAAGTTCAACTTGTCAGGTAGATGGAAACGCGCTCATGAAAAAAAGATTAAGAACGTGACAGATAGGACGACGGAAGCGCCAGGTAGGGTTTGGGTCTGGCAGCGGGAAGTATTGGGCAGGATGGGATGGATGGGATGAGACGGGATGGGGGGGTAACCGGGGGTTTCGTCAGCGGCAGCGAGGGAGGGGCAAACCCGTACGGCACAGACACCAGACATCACTTTACGCAAGAGGGACTCACCAGGCTGGCATGGCATTTGCAGGGGCCAATGGAGAATATGGGCCCTATGTATGGATGGGTGGATGAATGAGGGACAGCTGCCCAGGACCGTTAGGAGCCGAAAGACAGAGAGAGAGAGCCCAAGTGGCTCACGTACAGTACACTCTCATCTCTCATGCGGGCGGCATCAGGAGCCACAGAGCCTGGAGCAACGTCCAACTGCTGCATAGGATGGAGCCATGCATGGTGGCATCTTGCCTAGCGAAGCTCCATGATTGGCTGTATGTCGTGGGCGCTTAGAGGTTGGGCGGCAGCAAATGGCGTCTTGAGCTTGAAGTTGCAAGCGCCTGCCCATGAAAGCAAATTACTTGGCCCGAGAGTCTCGGAGAGCCTAGAGCGTGGTAGCGGAGCCCCCCCTGAGGCTCGTAATGCGCATTGAGCGAGATGAGAACGGCTTGTAAAGATGGGCAAAGACGGCATCCAGTAGCCGGTGAGTCGAGATGCGCCGAGAAATAAGGGAGCTGGGTGAGTTGCCCGCGCATCTGCAACTCTGGTGGACCATCACTTGATGGAAGCACCAAACGAAATGGGTGTTGGACAGCATAAGAAATGGGAGAAGCGAGTTAAAGCGGCAAAAAAAAAAAAAAAACTAGTTGACCGCGCAAGGTGAGAGAAGTGAAAGCGGCAGGCAGCCAGGGAAGATTAGAGATAGCCGGGAGGGAACCGAGGAGGGGAAGAGGAAGGCACGGAGGGACACCTAGGTGATAGCTTGGTGGCCCAAGCTTCGCTTCAGCGGACCATTCATTATCTAAGCTAATTGGTTCTGCCTTGACCACCACCTTTTTCTGTCAGTGCCTGCCGCCTCGTTGGTTTGCCTCCGAGAACCCCGTCCGCCATTCGTCAACCTCGGAGTTGTCATCGTCGCCCCTTTCGCATTCGGTCTAGGCATAATGCCCCGCTGGTTCAGGCTCGGAAGTCTGCAAGGCAACCCGTTCCAAAAATTCAGCCTTGGAAAGTAGAGAACAAATATTACTACCTACTGCCGAACTGTTAGTAACCAAAACACTCCGGACATCTGATTCGAAGGACCTCGCTCACTAAAAAAGAAAAAAGTATGGTTTAGAGCCTAACCTGATATCTTGATATGGTTTCTGTCTAGTTAGGTCTGTTAGTCACGTTTGCTTGGTGCAAAAAGCAGGGCGGGAGTGTGTCCACGACTAAGTAAGTTTTTACTTTGTATTTTTGTTTTTGTTTTTCTAAAAACCCATTGTTAAATTCAAGCCTGCGGTATCGAAGAGAACTTGGACATCTATCTTGTCGACGATATCCCCGTAAACTCGATCCAGGCAGACGCATCATCAGGCGCGTTTGACTCATACGACAACAAACTAGACTGACAACAGCTCCGCGCAGCAGTTAGGTGGACCAGCGCGACTAGCGACGGTGCATGAGGCCTCGGTCTGGTGTGCGCGGCCTTTTCCACTCCCGGTGGCGAGAGCACCACCACGCTTCACTCCCGAGGCAGCTGTGACACGCACCTCTGCACTTTTTCCTCTCTCCGACGTGTCGCCCTCCCGCACCGAGAAGTCTCCGCCACTTTCCCCCACAACGGTTCCCCTGTCAGTCAGCATCCGTCCCTTAACTTTAACCCACCCAAGCCTGGTGTACACCTCAGCTCGCTCCCCTTAGTCACTATCAGAAGCTGCGTAACACGCCCGACAGGGACACCGTCGAACGATGGCTCCACGGGCGGCCGAGAAGACGCGGCTTCTCCCAAAGGTAGACAGACATGGGCATGCAGGGCGTACGGCCGATTTCGTTTCGGGTGCCATGGCGCGCTTTTGTCGCAAGCCATGAACGTCGGGGCTTGCTTGGTGAGGAAAGGCGGCCACACTCCGGCTTCATCCAATGGGTGCTAGGCCGGGCGCCCTACCCGGGACGCGTGGCGACAGTGTACCTCCTCCCATGTCCCATTCACTCGAAACCTTTCTGTTCTGTTCGATCCAGTAGCTCAAGGTGTGTTGTACGGAGCCCTGACTGGCTCGGGATGACTACGCAAGTGTTTTTGCCTTTAATCATGCCGGTATCAGATGGAGACGTACGCATGCTCTTGCCTTACAGTGATGTGGGTGTGGTGTCCGTCTCATTCATGGTATATAACGTGGACTTCTCTTCGACGAAATACCAAGAGATTTCTTCCCCTCCAGCTTCATCAGCTTTCCGATATTGACAATCCATATTCCATCTCTCTCTCTCTTTATATACCTTGTATCTACAACCAAGCAGTAGCAATCATGTCTTGGGCAGGGCCAAACGGCAACAACAACCCCTTCAACCACCCAGACGGCCCCCAGGGCTTCTGGAACTTTATTCACTCCATGAACCCCAACATGCGCGCCGGCGCTGGCGTTGACTACTCCACCCCGTGGGCCAATGTTCCGCCGGGCTTCCCCTACCACGGCGCCGAGTTCGGTCTCGGCAGCGGCCACGGCGGATGGGGAGCCTACGGCGGCTGGGGCGAACCCCGCCGAGGCGGCTTCAGCCAACGTCGCGGCGGCAGCCGAAGTGGCTACAGGGGGCGCCACGGCCATCACGGACGCCACGGCATGAACGAGCCCGACGAGGCCATGTACGATGCTGAGGACAACGCGCGCGACACGGCTGAGGAGAGCGGCGAGTTCTCCGACAAGGAAAAGGATGGCTCCCCCGACACCATGCGCGATAGCCCCGAAGATGGCCCCGAGGGCGGCCATCCTCACGGCCCAGGGCGGCACGGTCGCGGACGCCACGGCCGCGACCCCGGCCACCCTAAGCGGGGCCACCCTAAGCGGGGCCACCCTCCTCACGGTCCCCACCCCCCTCACGGTCCTCGCCGCCCACCCTCCCCACCACCGCCGCCCCTCCCCCGGCCCTCGCCCGCCATCCTTCGGTGGCCACCCCCACCCACCACCGCCCCCGCCTCCGCCGTACCACCTGCCCGGAGACTTGCAGCAGTGGCTGAACCAGTTCGCCGGTCACCCCCTCGCCCAGCAGATCCGCGAGTGGGCTTCCCGCTTCGGCGTCAACACCACCGGTCCCGGCCCCCGCTCCCGCGGCCACGGCCCCGACTTCGCCGACGACGAGTCCTCTTTCACGCCGCCCGCCGACATCTTCGCCACGGAAAAGGCCTACGTCCTGCACTTCGCGCTCCCCGGCGCTAAGAAGGACGACATCGGCGTCGACTGGAACGCCGAGAAGGGCGAGCTCCGCGTCGCCGGCGTGGTCTACCGCCCCGGCGACGAGGACTTCCTCGCGACCATGACGTCGAGCGAGCGCAGGATCGGAATGTTCAGCCGCTCCGTGCCCCTGCCGCCCGCCGGCTCCGCCAGGGAGGAGATTGACGCGCCCTCCATCACGGCCAAGATGGAGGACGGCATCCTCATCGTCACTGTCCCCAAGGTGGAAAAGGAGTGGACCGAGATCCACAAGGTCGACATCAAGTAAACGATGCGCCGCGGCATTTTTCAGTGCTTTGCTTTTTCATTTTTGTTTTTTGGTGTCGGACGGTTTTGCAAATTGCAAGGTCAGGTATTTGGATGATGGTGGTAAATTATGGGGAGTTGCCGTTTAGGAGTTTTATTAGGTAGATGGAGAAAGACAGCCGTTTTGCATTCAATATTCATGCGAGTCCATTAGATGTGATAAACCACCCCTCATTGTGTCCTCGAATCCTTCTCGGGCTGGGCCCCTTTCCTCGACTCGATTGTGTCTTGATCAAGCCGTGTGATGTTCTAGCCCTCTCAATCCACCAGACATACAATTTGCTGAAATACGCCTAGTACCTTGTGTAAGTTCCTTGCGAATTTTAGAACTCTTAACCTAATCGCCGCTTTGAGATATATATCATCGCAGGATACAGCCTAGCACAATGTTTTTTCCTGTTCTGTTTTCGTTTGCGGAATGCCCAGGCTTACCAACAAGGCGAGCGTCGTTGCGCATCTCAAATTATCGCCTTCATTTCTTTTACTCAGTCTCGACTTGCTGTTTACAAGTACCTCGGCCGTGTATAGTCCAATCTTTTCGATACAACCGTCCTCGTACAATAGTCTCAAGTGGACTAAAGATGCAGCTCCTATGGAGGAGATAACACTAACTTCATGCTGAATAAACAAGAACGCTGCCTTATGTTTCTCAGACCCAGTGACCCGCTTGACTTCACGCACAGCTAACCTCCCATCGCTTGAAAGCCTCGACCGCCTCAGCAACGGAATCTCGCCCGAGAAGCTCCGTCTGATACTCCTTGTCGACCCAGCGCCACCCCGTCGGCGACAGCCCTTCTCGCAACGGCATCCCGCGCAGCTCAGCGTCCCGAGCCTCTTGTTCAGGCCCGTCTTCGACATGATGCCATTTCCGATTCGACATGGAACCCTCTACGTTCGCAGTTGTCCGTGACTTCCGCAGCGACTCATACAGCTTCAGGATCTCGGGAACCTTTTGCTTCATGCTGTCTCCGGCCGAAGCCTTCAGGAGGCCCAGAAGTTTACCGAGCACAGCGCCATCCTCTGCAGCCATTGCTGCGCCTTGTGCCTGGTATGGTAGGCTTGGATGGCACGAGTCACCCAAGAGGGCAAAGGAGCCCTGTATGGTCAACATATTGTATCTGACATTGAGTACCCAGAGAAACATACCTTAGTCCATGTCTTCAGCTCTGGATGAGTGCAAAGCTTCCACTTTTGGACTTTTGGTATCAGGGATATGAGCTTGGTTAGTCTGTGGACTTTCAGCATGTGCATTCTACACCAGTGCCGGACTTCCCCGTTACGGCGTACGCTGGACTGTCGGTTCCGCGGCTGGACCTACATTTCGTCCCACCCAGTGTAGCTTTCTCTCATCTCCCCAATGTCCCCCTCGACGCACTTTTCACTGGTATGCATGTTATCGGGCCTGATCAAGACGAGATTAAACTCTCGTCCCCCCTTGACAGGATAGAGTACGGTATGTCTGCCGGGGCCGAGCCATATCGTGACCTGCTTTCTGGCGCATAGCTCATCCACACGGGAGTCGTTCAGAGCTTTGAGATACTCGGCCGGAAGGGTTGCTCGATACGCCAAGTCTCCGGTCTCCACAGCAGGCGAGGGTAACCCAAGAAGCTGGTCGCGGCAAACTGAGTTGATACCTAGTTGCGTGAATCGAAGGTCATTTACTACGGGCTTGAGCAACCCAGCCGAACTATACTTACCATCGGCTCCAATGATGATATCGCTTCGAATATCCTCGCCATCCTTCAGACGTACGATATTGTTCTCAAAGTCGATACCTTCAACTGACATGCCCAGGCATAGATCAACTCCGAGTTCCTTGCAAGTCTGCCATAACACAGCATGGAAGTCGGCTCGATGAATTACCATCCAGGGATTGCCATATTCGTTATACAAATCCTTTTCCGAAAGCGTGTGTAGATGCTCACCATTGGCATACCTACGCAGCTCGATCGCATCGAGGACAGTGGCACACTCCGACAATTTTCCCAAGTAACCCAACTGTCGCGCAACTCTTGCTCCGTTAGGCGGTACTTGAATCCCTGCGCCCATCTTCACTAGTGTCAGCTGCTATGAGCATCTTGTATAGAGACGGAACGGGTGACGGGCGTGCTTTCCATGACTTACCGGAATAATCCGATCAGCCCGTTCCAACACCACAACTTCAAACCCCTCTTTTCGACAAGCAATGGCGCAAACCAGGCCTCCCAGACCTGCTCCAATAACCAGCACTTTCATCTTTGGGTTCCCTGATGATCCGATTGGCAAGCCGAAGGGATGAAGAGGTAAGCTACCAGGACAATTTGCTGGATGTAACTAATGTTGATGGAGGACCCCACTGGGTCACGTGACCCTCCTCCTCCTCCCTCTTCTCGGCCAGCCTCTGCCCACTTTGGCAGCCCACTCCTTGCGACTTCACATCACAGATATCGCCAATACAACGAGTATTGCCTCAATTTCCTGCTCGTCCCACAACTAATTCACTGTTCATTGAAGTCCGTCCCCCTGCGCTATGCATATGTGCGGGTTAGCGAGGCTGTGATACCACCTTCCTCTTATCACCCACTCACATCTCATGTCCACTATATACGTTTCCTTTGTCATCATTCAAAGCATCTTGTCTCACCAGGCTACACACTCATTAGCCACCTGTCAATGGTTCTCAAGGAACATTCACTTTACCAAAACTCCTCAGCATTGTAGTTGGGGACCCTACGCGTTGTCATATAACACATTGACACCTTGATCACTAGGAGCCAGGGTAGTCATAAGGACATCAGACCAATATACACAAGGAAGTACTACCAACTCATGCGGAGTGGAGGCGAAGCCGGAGTAGGAGGAGCGAAGGTTCAATTAGATAGGCATCCGTACAATGGACAATGTTGGTATCGCAGAGGTGTTGGGCTAGATCGAAGAAATGAAGCTATCGCAGGTTGCCTTGTTGAAAGGTGAGACATGATATCCACTGCTCAAATGGATGCCAGCAGTCGCTCGCTCGCTCGTTCTTTTGAGGGCCCTTTTCCAATTCATTGGCATCCAAGATATCTTATATTATATGTCTTTTGACGTTCAACGCAACGCGCGTTCAATCAAATATCGAAAACCCAGAACTCTGGTCCGATTCATGCACCGAAGAGGGGGTTGCCAACCTTGGTTCTTTCATATTTGTTCGAGGAGTAGAACCAACACGGTCCCTAAAACATCGCGACAGAAAGGAGCCAGATGACTTCCTCCATCGCTTCATTCCTTCTACCTGGCCACAAAAATATCCCTTTATAAGTAGAATTTCTCACAGGATCCTCACGTATTAAGCATCCCCAATGTAGAGATTCACGCTGGCACGCTGCTAAACGTTGATCATGTATTAGTACATTGATTGTTGGGGAGAGGTTTCTTGGACTTTTTCCTCTTCAAGTTTCTGCGGAATTCATTTCATTAGTCGGGTTTAGTATCAAAATGTGAGGCTGGATTTCGATATCGTAGACCACTTGATTGATTGATGTGCCGTGGTGGCCATGGACGGCTAAATTGGATCGAATGTTTGGTTCATGGGTGAATCAAACCAAAATGGAGGAATTGACACTCTAACCAGCTTAAACAGAAGCCCTTTTCGACTTTGGTAGAATCAGGAAAGGACAGGGTTCTGCGTCTCTATGGAAGGAGTGTTGGTCGGCGCTGCTGCCGCAGCTGCTGTGGAAGAGTTTTGGTATAAGCCACTGTCCACAGTACACCTTCTGGCGCGTATGGTTCAAGTAGACACCCGGAAGGTGTTCTTGGGGATGCCCCAAAAGTTCGATCCATTTTTCCAAGTGAGTTCAGGTGTCGCTGTCCAAGTAAAGCTTTCTTTAACATTCTTTGGCCCTTGAGATCCAGGACCATCTCCAGCATCACAATTCCAGAGATGCGGGTGTTTGGCGCAGTCGTCCAGCTGACGCAAGCCGCACCAAAGGAGTTGCCTTCATATAGCTCCTTTGTCTTATCTATGTTGCTGTTCTAGCTATGCGTCTGGATATTGTTGGTTGACAGGACTGCCGTTGTGGCTGATGCACAAATACAACAACTAGACCAGTGCTATAGAGAACGATAACACAGCTCCATATCACTCAGACTGTTGGACAAATCGGCTTAAGAGTACATACCACACCACATATGATGAGAAAGGCAACATATGCTACAATGTATCAGAAACCCAAGACGAAATTCCATACAACTGCTTGAAAACGATGCGAGGGTTAATAAATGTTAGCATCTGATGCCATTACTGATGGTATTTGAACCAGGAAGTCCGGTCATAGACATTGGTGCCAATCATAGTTATATAATTCTTACAGGCAAATGCGGAGACTTGGACAGCGGGATGAAAAGAAATCTTGGCAAAGATAGGGGTAGCAAGCCAGGTAGCCAGAATAAAGGGCTATGCTGTCACGCCTCACATGGACGGATGAACAACAAGGAAGCGGTCGTGCTAGAGGCACGTCCACTTTGACGCAAACCAACACGGTGTCGGTGCTTGTCAACTTGCCAACTTGCCTGGTATGGGAGTCCGTGTTGACGCTTTGCTCTCATTTTTGTGTCTTCAGGGATTTCGGGCCTTGTTGTACTGTCACCGATGTATCCACGTGGACTCACTATGTAATAAATCCAGATAAGCATACCATGCATGCGTGGCTAAGCTGAGTCTACTGTCGTTGATAGGCGGACGTCCCACTCATAACATATGTACCTGCAGCTCTAAGCAAAAAGGCTATGAACCAGCCCCGTTTTCCCCCATTGATTTAATAGGAGGCCGCAGGTATCCATCCATGCTAGGAGTAACATTGCACGACATACACTCCATGTTAGTTCAAGTCACTCGTGATATTGCCAAGTTTGTGAATAAAAAAGTCTGGCTTCATGTGATATTGAAAAGCAGCCAACTACTTAGGCACTGAGGTATCCTTACAGGCCTGCCGTGGCCTCGATCAAAAGCAGCTATACTACCAGCACCCGAGGAAGAACAAACAAGCTAGCAAAACAAAATCAAGCCACTCCAACAGCGAGGTTGCGGCTTTGGGTCCCAAACCATGCTTTTCCCACCCTCCAGGCCGCAACAGCATCTGGTATCTCTCCAGCTTCCAAGTTTACTCCAAACGCCACTTGGCCGAGTGCCATATCCAGGACCGACCCCCG